GCCTCTTGGCGTAAGCGCTCGTAACGATGAGTCAGATGTTGAGGGTCTTCTAAAGGTGCACCCATTATCATGCCTCTCATTGGGGCGGCCACCCGTAGAGGGACCAAGCCACTTTAAGTGTTTGAAAGAAATCCAAGCTTACTAAATGAAAGTCCTGAAAACATGCGTTACTTTCACCGTACAAACAGCACATGCAGAGAACATTCGAGGTGGCGTGCCACGATGAAAACATTCTAGCCAAATTACACACATTGATTTCTTATCACCCGAACTACCAAAATCAAAGTTTGTCCATACTATGCATTCATACGCCCGAGCAAAACGAACCTGAGTGCCAATAGAACGATGCATGTTGTCACGCTCCCTCTCCATCTGTGTGCGTGCTGTTCCAAAATGCATAGCAGCTCTTGCAAGTGATCCAGAACTGCTTGGTCCTTCTACGGCATACTTTCGACAATCCTCCGCAAGTTTATTGACTGCAGAAGGCGTCCATGCAGGATTCCCAGCTTAATACTAAGCTAAAGCAGAATTTTGAAATCTAACAAGCTCAACGTACAAGTTGTGTTTTAAACCGTCTATTGATAGGGTATATTCATGCACAAGGAAAAGGCAGATTTGTGATGGCTAAAACAATCAAATAAAACCTACCAACTTCGAGTTGTTTGAGTCCAGAAGATATGATACCCTCCACGCCGCGCACAATTTCCCTTTGAAAATTCTGTGATTAAGAAGGAGGTTACAAAAACCCCAAAACTTCACACTATGTCGAACATCACGCAAACCATCTGAACACAAAAGCCTGTAGCAAACAAACTGCTAAGAATTCCAAATAGTACAAACACAAATAGCAGGAGTGAATTCCATTCGTCTAATCTGTGTTACGTGTCACATCTTCCTAACAGCTCAAAAGTGCACCAGACAAACCTTGGCAGATTTTGTGGAGATATAAAGCTTCTCGAGCTGCTGATGCCGCTGAAGCTCTGCCTCGTCAACAATCAAGTTGTCTCCTTGTGAACCATAGCCTGAAAACGTCTTAAGTACGGCCTGCATGAGCACAGAGTTTGGCTCAGTCCTTGAATCAAGACAAATGTTTGCACAGAAGAACGAGTGGGAGGAAACCCAAAGCAAGCTGTAACCACAGTGCAATAAATAATCTAAGCAGCAATAACTCATCAGCGAATACCTGCTGTTGCTTAGCTACCGATTCTCGGAATTGGCTTGCTCGTTTTCTGATGGCATCCATTTCTGCACAGAAGAAGTATGCGAAATAAGCAGCAAAAAATTCCAGTTATAGTAGATTCTTGAGGTTACATCCTTGAACAAACGGACTAGTCTAGATGCTCAGTATTGATCACTGAATAACGTGCTTTTAGACAACAATGCTGTTAGGGTTGTACGTTGAAGTACATACTGTCATTTCGCATCCTGTTGTAGCATGAGTTAATGATTGCGTGTGCATCACTTTATGAGCTGGCATTATTGTCGATACTAAATTTGAATTAGAGTAACGCTACGTTCTGTTTTGATGTCAAAATGAGCTATCGTACGACTAATTGGCTCCATGCAATTGTGAATTTCCAGAGCTCCGCCTAGATAGGTCAGTGTGCCACAGACCTAAATTTATTGAAAACTAACATTCTCCAAGCCTATTGGTTAGTTCTTACCAGCTCTTACTAGGTCAATTATAACTGAGGAGTGCCCCAAACAACCAAAATAGCCAAACATAACACTACCTTAAGCCAATCGATGATCCCAACATGTGAAAATGGGGCCTGTAAGAAAATGAATGACAGATTGAGTGTAGAATAGAGACTTCAACGACAGAACATTGAGATAAAATCCCAATGGTGCTCATGAAACCAGCAAGTTAAAACGAGTTATTAAATTTTTTTCCCAATGTCAACAACAAAACATCTGGAAATCGAGCTGAGGCTAACTCGACAGGGGTGAAGAGACCCTAAGCGTATGAGATACGTAGACTTCCATTTACAGCAGAGGTAATCGTGTGTGCGTGTGTGTGTGTGTGTGTGAGAGAGAGAGAGAGAGAGAGAGAGAGAGAGAGACGCACACCCAGGGAGCACACAACCCTAACACAGTCACGCCAGACCCAGACCGACCAAAGTATAGCTTACAGATCGGCAAGAATCTTCACGCAGTCTCTTCTCACAGATTCCGCCGTAAACGATCCCACAACCCCAACTGTTCCCCCAACCGCATCAAATGCTGCGAATAAATCCCAGGATCAAACAAGGATC